AACCTAGCTATAAACATAATCATGTGATATTTATATTTAGTGCTATCACTAATATGAAAATTGGCAAATTTTTTTTGGAGAAAGGCTGGTCGTGAATTGAGATCAGCTAGAGCTGAAGTGGCGATAGCTAGTGTGGAGTTAAAACTGCATTTTCATGTGAACCAGCCTGTTTCTTATAGTATCTATTATTAAGACATAATTAATATATATGAAATATTATTTAGAATGATATTCTTGATTATGCGGGATTGGTCCTGTTTCTGTTGCTATTTTCAGAGCACATTACTCCTACTTACCACTTTCTGGATCTGTTGACTTTTGTCAAACTTGCATTATAAGTTTTTATCAATTATTCCATTCGTGTTAAAGTAAAGCATGCATTGGTACATAATTGCTACTCAGTGAAGAATTTGATCAAAATTGCCACAAGTAATGCTTAGGGGCGCCGGTGGCACCCCATCTTTGCTTGTAATGCCGTAATATTATATAAGAGTAATAAAATCACATTTTGTTGTTTAACATTTTACATTAATTTTCAATGATACACTTCTTGAAAAGTGACCTAAGGCCGTATGTCGGCCTTATACTCCTTATCTTAGTAATTTTTAGTGGAATATTCTTTTTCCAAGAATCCTATCATCTCTCTATTACCTTTAATTCCAAGGGAATAATTCATTCAAATCGTACCACCCTTGGATTTAGTCATATTTATGTTATTAATCTTGAGTATAGAACAGATAGACATAAAAGAATGGAAGCTTTAGGGAATTATCTTGGTTTAGATTTAGATTTTTTTAAAGCCGTTAGTAAATACGATATTGCAGCGCTTAGTAGACTTAATGAAAGTGATCTAGGTGCAGGTGTTAAGGGTTGCTATCTAAGTCATTATGAAATCTTCGAATCAATTATTGAAAATGATTATGAAAGTGCTTTAATTTTTGAAGATGACGTGGATATAGAACTTAATATTACTGATATCATGACTGAAGTTCATCATAATTTACCTGATGATTGGGATTTACTATATCTTGGCCATTGTGCTGAGCAGGGTAGCAAATACATCAAAACCAATTTAACCGTTCATGTACTACATAAATCAGGATTTGCACAATGTTTACACTGCTATGCAGTTACAATTAAAGGAGCCAGGAAGTTAATAGAAAAGCTTAACATTGATAAACCAGAAAACCATGTCGATATTGATATACCTAATCTTGTCGTTGCCG